ATATATGGATCATATACTACAACTCCTAAATCGCAACTAACATGTGGATCTGCCGCACAAATGTCATCTGCCGATGCCGTCATCACTACGACCTCAACAATTGCTGGAATTTTATTCATTTTTATTTTTATAATTTTCATCTGCACATGGTAATGGTCAGAGAAATACAACTGTTATGAATATTATGATTTTGTTTCCTTTACAATGCATAGCCACTTATATTTTTTTCATTTTTATTTGTAATTTAAACTTAAGAATCATTTTTCATGGTTCTATTTACTAGTATTTTGTGATTAATGTCATGGTTCTTTGTTTAATATAGTCGCAGGAAACAGAAGAAGAAAAAGCGTTTTTTGAAGAAACATGGACCCGATTCACAGTCTATAGAAGGAAAAGGATTCTTTACAAAAACAATGTGGATACCCTTCTGGAAACAAAGAGGACATACCTTCTTTCAATACAAGACGGCACCAGAAATACCGATTTCAGATCCACGTAGTCATAGGTTTGCATATCACACAATTTTTGTTAAAAAGTTAAAGAGATCGCAGAAAAAGATTTGTATGTTGGCATTTTAATCCAATTGTATTATTTATTTTACAGGTACCAAACACGTAGAGAAACGGTGCAATATGCGCCATCAGCTTCAGGGGACTCAAGAATGTACACAAACAGAGCATATGAAGAAGATTACGTCACCGATGCACATGCATTTCGTAATTTAGGGGCAAGGCAAAGTAGTATTATCTATGATAATGCGAGAAACAGTCGCACATTTGGAAGTGAGTTCATTGGAAAAACAAATGAGGAAATGCGGAACAATTCTGTTTATTCATCTGTTTATTCCTCACATTCAGAAAAGAGACAGTACAATTCTTGGAGTCACGAAGATCATAGAAAAAATGGCAAAATGCATTCTAATGCTGAAGAGAGGGTGACTGAAAAAACCGTGTGGGTTCCGGCAGAGACGGAAGATGTTGCTGTTTACCAGGCAGTGGAGAAACAAAGAAAGGACAAAACGGAAGTAAATATGTCCAAACAAAAAACCGAGGGGAATAAATACGAAAGCGCCCAGAACACTAATATGGCTTCAAATATTAATGGCAATCAAAGTACACATTTGTCAGCACATATGTTAGAAACAAACGGTGAGTTGTGCCCATATTGTATTCATGCTCACACAGAAGGCAGAAAATTGGTCCATCGTGTGTCTAACAGAAAAGGAAATTCAGTAGATAACAGCTCTCAGACAGATTTTGCATACGAAATCAGGTCATCAGTCAGCACAGAAGAAACAAATATTAACTTGAAAGACGTTGATCAATATACTTATGCTTCTATTCAAAAAGGCGATAATAAATCTTTAACTAAAACGACCCTCTCACAGCCTCTGCTCAAGACAACCAGAATTCAATATGACGGAGTTGGTGTAAGCCGAAAGCTAGTTAAAACGTCGGAATCTGATAACGATGAGAGAGTCATCATAGGGGATAAACGGAAAGTTTGGCCCTCATTAGAGGTTGGAAAAAGAATTCAATCAGAAACAAAACAAAGCGTATTTGGTGATGGTTCCAGTGGTATGGTTTCAACGGGTTCGGAAATGCATCAAGCTGATGAAAGAACGTCTCAAGTCATTTTGCTAAAACGGATGCAGAGTAACTCAAATTACGGAACGCAAGGTTTTGGAGCTAGTACAGTTAGCCCAGGCGAGTCTGATGGAGATCACAAAATAAAAATAATCCATGGTGAAGACAAATCAAGCATATCTGACATAAAAGTTGGTGAAACGACATTGGGAAATCAACAGGGAAGTGGAGCAACTTCAACTGGAATGTTAGAGAAAGAACAAAGTCTTTTTAAGAATACCCTTGAAAACAACGGAGAAAAGATTGAAAATGAAGAATCAACTTTAAAGACTTTCAAGAAAAGCATTGACGGACATGTGTCATCTGTCCAACTTCCAAAAACGGGACAGCGGAGTCTAATTTTTATCAAAGCTAGCTCCGACTCATCTTTCATGAATGCCAACAATGACACAAAAATGAGCAGAGTACAAGACGATAACAAAGAAGTCTCCATAAACGTTTCTGTCTTAAGGAAGGCAGAATCAGAAACTGGAGCCATAAACGAGGAAGAGCAATTGAAAAGAAGAGGAGCTGAAGTTCAAGAGCAGACTTTATGGTTTCATGGCGACAGTGATGAGGATAATGATCAATCAGACTCGACTTCGTCTGCGATGCTGGAGAAAACAACAAATCTCACAGAATATGACAAGACGGGCTCAAGGGATCAGAAAGACGAGCAATACGAAATAATTACTTCTTGGCTTCCGTTCGAACAAGGTCAAGAAGGACGTAAAACTGTATATCAATTATCAGAAGAGAGAAAGGAAGAAGTTGAAGATTCAGAATCGTTCGGTTTTCGACAAGAGGGGATTCAAAGGAGCTATATAGTAACAAGTGAAGACAGAAAAATTCACTCGCCTGGACATAACCAGTACACAGAAATATACAAACGTGAAGTAGTCCCCTTCAGGTATTTTGTTGTCTTACACCTAAATTTAGATTGAATAAAAATGAATAAGAAACGGCATTAGTCGTTAAACTAACTTCCATATTCCCTTTACACATAATTTTTAGAGCACAATGCAGGTAGTTTCTTTACTGTTTGGGCAGCAGTACAAAGCAAAGGAATTCAAATATGATTTAGAACAGAATGTGTGTGGCATTTTATGATCTTATTGCATTTTTAGTTAATTTTTATTGTAACCTCTTTCATGATTCATTTATATTTTACCGTACGATTCCCCAATCTTCCACTTCTCATAAAGGTCAAACAGGACAAGCCTTATGAGGCACCCATTTAATTTATTTTTAGGTACAATACTAAAGGGAAGGCAGAATATATGGGGGAGGAAATCAACGTGACATCAACACAATCCTTTCAAGAAATGAATATTCGTACAAAAGGAAATGCAGATGAGAAGAATATTGTTCATACTTCACTATCTACGGACAAGTCACCCCATTCCGAAGGATCTGGACAAGGCCACAGGTATTTTAAATTATTATCTCTTATACTACCAATATGTACCTCATGTATGGAACGAGTATCAAAACTAAACTTCTTTGCGGTGTGTGATTTGGTTATTTGTCATTAGCTTATAATCAATTGATAAAATCTTTTACTTTGTATAATTTAAAGTTTTTCTTTAACAAGTCTGAAACATACGGAAAAACAATATTAAATCAATGGTTGATATCTTTAATATGCAAGAAGCAGATTATTGTAAATTACACGGATGTAAAACAGGTGCATGATTCTAATATCTTTTTCTATTTTTTTTCAGCTATTCCTTAAAAATGGAAAGAAAAATTGAAATTGGCGAACCAAATGACGCGCGGCCCCATATATACCATGTAGAATCCAGTGAGAGACTTTAATCGCCATCTTATTACACCAATTTAATTAATAGTATGTTTAAGAATTTATCTGTTGATGACTTAACGATGCAATGAATGACTAATCTAGCTGAAATTCTTGCTTCGACATTTTTTACATAAAAGTAATAAACAATGTAGTATATATATTTCCTGTATATTTTATAATCAATACAAATGTAAAAATTATGTGCTCCTTTTCATTGTTTTTTTAAATATACTGTACATGTATCTCAATCATTTAAGCGCCATTTTGACATTCTATGCAATTTTAAATATCAACAAAATAAAATATGTATATTATCTTCTTGATGATTTTAAAGTAAAACGCATATCAACTAGTTAAGAAATTTTTTTTCATATTGACTAATTATACTTGTATAGCATAATTGGTTAAAAAATAAAGGATATTTTCCAGGACAGAAACGGTAAAATATTCAACAAATCCGATTTCCCTTTTTATATAGAGGATGTGAGGATAAAATTTTGTTAATCCTTAGATCCCTCTTCCGTTCCAGTGTGAATGATTTTCAGGAATATGAATCTACATTCATTTTCCACTTTTAAATTGAAAGAAAATGACGTTTTCTTTTATGTTAAGGTAGAAAACCACACCAATTTTTTATTTTATAGATCTTTGAGTCATCCTTTTTAAACAATGGTTTCAGCATTGAAAGGCTGATATTAGCTCTTAATTATTTTATATAATTTTTTTGTATTTTTTCAAAGAAAATGAAAAAAATTATTTACATCCAACTTAGATGCTTTCTTATAAAAATTTTGCTGTAAATGAATGCATCACATGAAAACCTAATAAAATATGTAAAGAAAGTCTAGTTAGACCTTTTTAATTTTTTTTTATATAAAATTATTTATGAAAATAAAACACATTATTTGTGAATATTTTTTAAATCTATGGTTAAAAATACCAAAAAAACTAGTCACAACTAAGGACAACATGTTTGTCCATCATATTTTTAAAGAAATTGAAACGAAATTAAGAAATTTTAGAGAAAATAATTTTTTTAAAAATTGGTCCTAACCCGATCAGAATTAAACTGATCTCGATCGAAATTAACACAAAATGAATAAAATACTAATTTATTGCCTCTTCATGTGTTTACAATGAAGAAATCTATTTTATTGTCAGGTTCTATAATGTTTTAACCCTTATTACACCTACTCAGACTAGTGTCCTTAGGAAAATGTTATTTATTTCCAATAATTGTACAATTATGGTCGGGATCGGTTTAATTTTGATCGGGATTGGCCAAAATTTAAAAAAAAATTAATTTTTCTAAAATTTGGCTATTTCGTTTCAATTTCTTTTGTAAATATGATTAATGAACATATTTTCCTCAGTTGTGGCTGGTTTTAAGAAGATTTTAACCACAAGTTTAAATAATATTCACAAATTATATGTTTTATTTTCATAAATAATTAAAAAAAAATTTTAAAGTCTAACCAGACTTTCTTTACATATCTTATTAAGTATTAATGTGATGCATTCATTTGCAGCAAAAAAAAATTATAAGAAAGCATAAAATTTGGATGTAATGAATTTTTTTTCGTTTTCTTTGAAAAAATACAAAAAAATTCATACAAAATAATTAAGAGCTAATGTCGGCCTTTCAATGCTGAAACCATTGTTAAAAAAGGTTGACTCAGAGATCTATAAAATAAAAAGTTGGTGTGGCGTTCCTCCTTAATTGTTAGTTTTATGTATTGTAATATAAAATTTATTTGACTAAGGTTCTACCTTAACTATACAGATGTAGAGGGCTGATAGTGATAATGTGTGTGTGACCAGTGGATAGGAGATTCCCTTTTTAGGTCACCTGAGTAAACTCAGGTGACCTATTGCTATCCGTTTTCGTCCTTCGTCGTCCGTCGTGTGTCGTATGTTAACATTTGAACATTTTCAGCTTCTTCTCTGAAACCACTGAACCAATTTCAACCAAATTTGATATTCAGCATTTATGGGTGAAGGGGAACAGAAATTGTGAATTTCATGGTCAACGCCCCCCTGGGGCCTGAGGGGTGGGGCAAAAACCACTAAAATTATTGCAATCTTTAAAAATCTTCTTTACTCCTGGACATCAAGCAGGCAAACTGTTGGCATGATTGTAATCAGCATTGAGTCCTCTACCAAAATTGAGAAATTCATGGCCCCTGGGTCAAGGGATCAAGTACTAAGGCGGGGCTAAATAGAATGTATGGTGAAAATGCATAAATTCTTTGAAAATCTTCTTCTCTGCATCTGGGTATTAAATAAACTAACTAAGTACATAGTTATGTTGAGCAAGAGTGCTTCCGGATTTTTTACTTTTATGGCCCCAGGGTCAAGGGTTTTGGTGTTAGGGCGGGGCTCTTTTGATGATATAGTGAAAATGCATTTATTCTTTGAAAATCTTTTTCTCTGCTCCTGGGTATTAAATTAACTAACTATGTATATAGTTACGAATTTTATGGCCCCAGGGTCAGGGGTTCTGGTGTTAGGGCGGGGCTCTAATAATTATATAGTGAAAATGCATTTATTCTTTGAAAATCTTCTTCTCTGCTTCTGAGTATTAAATAAACTAACTAAGCAGATAGTTATGATAAGCAAGAGTGCCTCAGGGTCAGGGGTTCTTGTGTTAGGGCGGGGCTCTAATGATGGTACAGTGACAATGCATTATTCATTGAACATCTTTTTCTTTTGTTTTCTCTTTTTCATTAAATAACTCCATATTTCCCCCTTATTTTCACGAAGAAGAAATTGAGGTCATGGTAAAACAATCCATCCATTCTTCCAAAGAAAGCTTTAAAGTAATTTTCGTTGAATTTCACTCTGAATTTCTTTATGACTCGGGAAAAAATCCACAGACGAAAGACTCTGTGAAGTTCAAATTCAAATAATATTCAAAGTTGGGATTTTCTTGATAGTAATTACTCTCTCTCTCTCTCTCTCTCTCTCTCTCTCTCTCTCTCTCTCTCTCTCTCTCTCTCTCTCTCTCTCTCTCTCTCTCTCTCTCTCTTACAGCAATCAATGTTTTAATGCTATTTACTTTAAAACTTTTTAGCAAATTGCAAACACGCACATATTCTTGTCACATGGGATATATTATTTGTATACAAGAAAAACCTTTTTAGGAAATTGCACAGAGGATATATTATTTGTATGCAAGAAACTCTCTTTCACCTTTATAATTGAAGAAAATTAAAGAAATTACAGTATTTATGAATATTAAAACTATGCAACTTTCTTCAATTGTCTGGATAAAAAGGTTTTTTTTTTTATCTCAATACATGTATATAAATGTTGACCAA